CAAACAAAAACTGACTGTTTCTAAATTTTAAGTTCTGAAGTCAGGGGTGAATTTGGCTTTAGTTGCTTTTAAATTATTTGAAGACAGAGTTTAGATCAGACAAAGTTGAAGAGTTAAAAACAATTAAAATCTTAAAACAGGTCTTCAAAGAACCTCGGTTTGGAGAAATGGTTACATTTAATTTTGGATTGTCGAGCTAACGCCGACTACAAACGGACCCAAGGAAAAAAGTAGATCTCTGCCAGCTTCAATCACAAAACACAATGATTCAAGCAAATACGGTTGTAAACCTTTACAAGAAAATACATTGCACATTATATCATATAGTTTATTCCAGCAAAAAAACTCTTAAATTCCAGCCAAAGATGCTAAAGATAGCTACCAAAATGTGCATGCAAAGATCCAATATCTACTATATAAGTGAATGCAAATTATTCAAACAATGTCAGCATAATGGTTTATCTTTAAAATGCGATTGCGTAAACCACTGACAATTTTGTACAATTTAAGTGGATTTTAGACTCCAGTTACTTCATTTAGACTTGTCTATTTGGTCCTATTTACGAACTATTCATTACCCCAACACTGTGAGGCTCTTTGCAATCTGTTAGAACTCATTGCATGTGTTCAGTTTGACTCTTAGCCAATATCAGATCAGATTTTAGGTTTATATCTGTAAATTTGACTATTATAGCTGTTTTTCTTTTAGCTAATGTTGAATACCTGTGGCAGCAATCTTAAATTGGAACAACTGGGTGATTACTTCCCGAGATGTAAAACTCCACAGTAAGGTCACCTTTGCACAGGACAAACCAGCCTGTTTCTCAGTATCCATGTAATCCTCTTGAAGGCCTATTAGTGGACACAAGCTCACAGAGCGGGGGTGGGGGTTAAGGGCTGGGGAGGTTTGCTGAGACCACACCACAGCCCCAAACAAGCCTGCAACACCGGCCAATTAGATTCAAGAGAACAAGCAAAAAAAAAAAAAAGAAATAAAAAGATAAGAACAAGCAAAAAAGTGATGTCTGCTTCAAAAACGCCAGCTGTTGCAGCCTCCGACCCGCAGGTCGTCCCTACAGTTAAACGAACAGGTTCTGTTCAGGTTAATGAAATGTGAAGGATGGAGCAGCTGTCTGCGAGTGGAAACATCAAATGCGAAAGTGGTAGGAAACTGTTTGCATCAGCTTGTTAGGTGGGTAACTAATCTTACAACCCCTATTTTGAAAAAGTTTGGACGTTGTGTAAGATGTAAATAGAGAGAAAAAAAATTCCTCCATTTTTTGCAAATGGTAATTTTAAATGTTATGGCAGCAACACATCTCAAAAAGTTGAGATACGGACAAAAAAAAAGGACTGTAAAAGTAAGTTTTATGAATAAGAAACAGCTGAAGGAGCATTTAATCACTAACTAGGGTAACTGGCATCAGGTCCGTAAAAGGAGTGGGTTTAAAAAAAACATTTTATATGCTGAATCACTCATGAGTAAAGATGGGCAGAAGTTCACCATTCTGTGAAAAACTGCATTTAAAACTAGTGGAACAATTAAAAAGAACCCAGACCAGTTGTAACATTAGACATTGTTTAGTAAACTTAATTTACTTCAACCTTAAAACCAAGACTGTAAAATTACCGTAGGCTGCTTAGTTATCGCACTCTGGTTTCACTGAAAAGGGCTGATCGTCAGATATAAGACCAACCTTTAGGGTGGACGGAGCTCGCTCACAGCCTTGCACCAAAAAACCTAGTAAATGTCATCATTTACCCAGTACGCTTTGTGGCGTTAATATGTCTCAGTCCGTATGAAATTTTTTCCAAAGAGTTCAAAACTGAAGAATTTTCTGTCCTCAAAAAGATAGTGCCTGGCGGTATACCAGTTCGTACCGAAAACCGATTTTTATTTTTGGTATGATACGAATTATCTGAAAACCGGACATATCGGTTTAAATAGCCTGAACACATTCAGAATGTTTTGTTGTTTGTGCCAGTGAACTGTTTCATGGGGGACACTTTTCCTTGCAACACTGCTATGCTATTTAGCAAGCCATAATTACTGTTGGAACAGCTTGTTGAAGAAACTGGCGGCGGGTGGCGATTCCAATGCTTATATTGACTGACGTTTAAAATATATATATATATTTTCCCATTTTCGCCATCGCTGAATGTAGTAAACAACGCTCCAGCCACGTGCACGTATAGATTTAATTCACAACATTAATGAATGGAGACGTTAATATGCTTCTATGGTGAAAAGCCCGAGGGGAGGTGGTTTTGTACTGGGGTTTAGTTGACTGGTGCATGGAGTCTGAGTCATCCAGTTAAGCTTTATTAAATGGATCCATGACTAGTTGTAACATTAGACTTTATTTAATAAACATATATTTTAACTGTAAAATAAAGACTGTAAAAATACTGTAGGATGTTCAGTTTTTATCATACACGGACGGGGCCATTTTATTTACACGCAAAGAATTCTGGGTAAATGATGACGTGGATAGGTCCTCGGTGTGAGGCTGCTAGCGAGCTATATCCACCCTGAAGGTTAATCTTTGACAATATCTGACGATCGACTCTTTTAAATGAAACCAGAGAGCGTTGACAGATAAGAAGAACCTCATCTTAGCTTTAGCATTATCCCCAACACTATCACCAAATATTTGTATTAGCTCAGCGCTACACATTCTCCTCTCATCACTGAGGTCCTCCATCCACATGACAGAGAGGGGAACACAAAAATYACTCAGCCTGCAAATGAAAATATGGATTGAGGACCTCAGTTTAGCTTGTTAGTTTGTCGTGCTAGCGCCGAGCTAATACACATAAGGCAATATAGCATCAGCGCTAGCGCGAAGGCTAACAGACTAAGCTGAGGTTCTTCTTCCATGAAGCAGCTCTGTTGTCCTCCATCCACATTTTCAGTTACAGGCTGAGTCATTTCTACCTTCTCCTCTCTGTCAACGCTCTCTGGTTTCAAGTCGATCGTCAGATATTGTCCAAGATTAACC